CCCGCCCCAGGGATGCTGCAGCTAAGGCCCCGCCCCAGGGGTGCTCCAGCCCGGCCCCGCCCCAGGGATGCTCCAGCCTGGCCCCGCCCCAGGGATGCTCCAGCCGGGCCCCGCCCCAGGGATGCTGCAGCTAAGGCCCCGCCCCAGGGGTGCTCCAGCCCGGCCCCGCCCCAGGGATGCTCCAGCCTGGCCCCGCCCCAGGGATGCTCCAGCCGGGTCCCGCCCCAGGGATGCTGCAGCTAAGGCCCCGCCCCAGGGGTGCTGCTGCCCGGGCCCGCCCCAGGGATGGTCCTGCTCCAGCCCCTCCCAGGAGGGTTTCGTGGGTCATGCCAGGCCCCACTTGTTCTGCCGCCTGAGTTCTTTAACTTCTTCCTTCTGACTCTATTGGGAGACTAGATTTCTAATTCCCATCTAAGTTATCTTTATAGAAGAATGACTTTGCATTTCATCCTTTCATGTAGTTTTTTTCTGTTATTTGCCAGTCTCCATAATCCTCTCTTTTAAAGTGGTACAAAACACACACACACNAAGAATGACTTTGCATTTCATCCTTTCATGTAGTTTTTTTCTGTTATTTGCCAGTCTCCATAATCCTCTTTTAAAGTGCTACAAAACACACACACACACACCCCGGAAGGGCACTTTGAACACTGCTATTTGACACCTACAGTGTGCCTGATTCCCAGAGCCACCACTTTTTGAAGGACAGAACAATAATGATATGATTTTTGCCAATAAAGGAGATGAGATTATTGATTTTATATTCAGTACCCATTTTGTTATAATAAAGCTGCATTACATTTTTATTTATGAAATAAAAATGGTATATTTTATCAAATGAGTTTGGGTTTCCAAAGGTTTATCATTTTCTCACAAGAGATCCCTCTTGGAAAAAAATAACCTGAATAATTAAACTTAACCTACAGGGGATTTCTGTTGTTCTCGCTTTAAATTTATGGTCAGTTAATGGCTCTAATCCACAAATGTAATTTTTTCCTGTTTGAGAAAAATATAAATTTACAATAAGTGTTTAATGCAGTATAAAAACAGCAGCATTTAAAGGAATTCTTCTAACATAATTGTCTGGTTTTAAGTAACAGTAGTCAGGTAAGCATCGGATAATTACTTATAGGTAAAATGGAATTTACTGCGTTCTAGGTTATATAACAAGAAAAGAAAATCAGAACATTAGTTATTTCTTTTTGTATTTGGTTTACTTTCTTACGCGCTGTCGTGGGGAGAATTCTCAGGATTTATTCACACATTGGGACCTTGTGCTTAACATTTGGTGAGGTTGTAACCACAGTAGCAAAACAACAGAATACAGGGCACATTCCAGCAACACCACCATNCTCAGGATTTATTCACACATTGGGACCTTGTGCTTAACATTTGGTGAGGTCGTAACCACATCAGCGAAACAACAGAATACACCAGATCCGTGTGATAACGCTGTGTTTCTGTTAAACATCACAATACTATTTACTTTACGGGACCTGACGGACTCGGGGTCTACAGGAAGACCCCTTCTTGTGTCCTACCTACCACTTCATTCCTTCAGTACGAATCCTGCAAATTTAATGGAGCGGCCTTTGCAGTAACAATGGGAGGATTTTTAAATCATTGATAAGTGGAAAAGAGTTGTCATAAGCAATTTAGTGTGTTAAATGGTGGTAAATATAGACGCAGTTTTAAACAACAACAACAAAAGGATATTAGAGTTGAGCTTCTTTAATTATTGGCAAAAGCTTTCCCAAGGGCAGGTGAGGTGCTCTCTCGCTTCCATGGCAACCAGAGGTGCCACTCTGTGGGGGGCGACCCAGAATCACGCTGGGTCCACTCCTCCAGAGCCAAGGAGGCAGGTCTCAGGTCTCGCCTGATTTGTTTGTGGGAAAAAATAAGGAAATGCTTCCCAATGAGCCACAAGCACTTAGGCATGAAAAATGTTCCCTTCCATTTGGTTTGCCTTATTGGGCTCCTTTATTTATGATTTTAAGTAGGAAATAGGAGAGTGAGAAGACCCGGGGTTTAGGGACAGTCTGTCTGTCCTGTCTCCTTGCTGTTGGGCTCTGTTAAGATGTCACCAGCTTGACCCTAAGCTGAGTCACGAAGCACAGGTGTCAGACGTTACGTGTGGGGATGCGCAGAATCGGCCTCTGAGGACTCCCTGTTCGCCTGCGCCCTCCAGCGTTGTGGGCACACGTGAGAGGAAGGGAGTCTGTTGTGAAGATCAAATATTGAGAAATGTATTTGGTGGACAGTGTTGTTGAGACCCAGCCCCAAGTTCAGCGAGTGAACTGTCCCCGACTGCTCCTGGTCCCCCACTGCTCCTGTGATGTGTTTTCCAGGTCCCCGCACCCTTAGAAGCTCTGTGTCATGGGATTGGGCAGGAGCTAGAATGCAGAGCCAGTCGCAGTGTTTTCCTGGAGGATTAGACAAGATGACCTGATATGGTTTTTTCCCTCTCTCTGGTGTCAGTAACCCCGAAATGACTTTGTCTGTGCTATAAAAAGGACTTCCTTTGGGAACCTCTGAGTAGTTTCTCTTGTCCCCGTGTGAGGGGCCTCTTGGGCAGCTTTCCAGAAGTCCTTCCAGTTTGATTTTTTTGTTAACCAGTCCAAGTTCGCAGATTTATTCGAAGCTGTTTTTGAAGAGCCTCTTCTGACATACAAACTCTCGGCTGGGATTTTCACAGCGTATCCCGTCAGGTGGAGATGGCGAGACCCTGAAATTTTTCGGCCAGTCCATTCACGGAGAAATGGACTTAAATGGTGACGGTCTGACTGATGTGACCATCGGGGGCCTCGGGGGCGCCGCCCTCTTCTGGTACGTATTTTAATAACACCCAGTGAACCTACTTCACAAATAGTTCAAGCTCAGAAGGAAGGAAGCTTCTATCACGCCAAATATTTATTTCCCCTTGTGATTCATTATTCAGGTAAAAATTACGCAGTTTGGTGAAATGGAGAAGTCAGTAAATCATATTAAAGGAACAAGTAGAATCAACCCTTAATTTGCTCAGTTCTTTAAAATGCTTGCCCCCCCAAATTAATTTCAATTAATTGTAAAATCTAGTTAATGGTCAAATGCATATATTAAGGCCATTTGACTTATCTACTAGTAAAATAATTTATTAATTGATAGCATTCATAACTCTAGCTTTAAGTAGTTAAAACAATTTCTAAAAGGGTTCTATTTGAAAAAAAAAGTGGTTAAAAATATGAAGAATAACATTAATGAGAGCTTTGTATGAAAATTTCAAAAATGCTACAGACTCATTAAGAAATGACGGCTGCGTTCCTTTCGGAGGTTCCTCTCAGAGGCTGCTCCTGCATTTGCCGTTTTCCAAGGGCCACAGCTCAAATAATCAGCATATGAATGCGGCATATTTTGGGTGGTACATCCTGAACCCCTGCAGTCATATTTCAGGGACGCATATCCTGCTGCCCTTTAGAAACAAAAGCCTACGATGGTTCCAGGTCAGCCCGAGCGTCCTCGGAACATCAGATACAATCTCGTGTGTATTAAATTCTCTAGAGAAGTGGGGCTATAGGCCGTGCTCCCCACAAAGAATGCCCCCCTCGATGCGCTCACTCTGAGCTCCCCGAGTGGTGACATTCGTCCCACGTGCAAACGTGGGTGGGATCACCGCTGTCTGTGTGTTTCCAGGTCCCGAGACGTGGCTGTAGTTAAAGTGATCATGAATTTTGAACCAAATAACGTGAATATCCAAAAGAAAAACTGCCGCATGGAGGGAAAGGAAACAGTATGCATAAATGCCATGGTGTGTTTTGATGTGAAGTTAAGGTCCAAAGAAGACACGGTTTACGAAGCTGGTAAGTGCGATGCATACGTGTAAGTACTTTAGGGCAGGGGAGAAGTACAGTTGCCCCCACGTGAGGAATCCGTGGGCGCTGTGTTCCCCCTGGGATAGGGACCTGCCCCTGTGAACACGCGGAACCTGGGAAAAACCTACTGCCGAGGGCATGGGCGATGGAACCAGTAAGTCTGGGGCAGAAACTGTGTGGCTGTGATGCTCTCAGCATTCCAGGCTTCCCCTGTAGCTCTACAGTTACTATAAACAATCAGGTGCTTAGAAAATAATCAGAATAGAGAGAGACAAGGAGAGGGAGGGGGAGAGGGGAATGAAGGGAGAGCGGTTAGGCCTCGGCCTCCTTCCTATGGGTTTTCAGGAAGAGGCCTCCCTTCCCGTCCTGTCCTCTGCTGGGCAGGCCTGGAACGGCAGGGGACCCCAAAGCTGTGCCACCCGCCTTCCCAAGGTCCCTTTGCTCCCCTCAGGTGGCCCTGGCTCCTGAGAGTCAGACCTTCAGGCTCATCACCGCAGCCGGGTGTCCCCTCCTCCCCACGCACTACACTTTCGGGGGCTTTTTAAAAAAAAAGGATGTTGAAATACGTTGGAGTCAAAACTGTGAAGGCCATTGGCTGCGGAAGAGTAATTTACTCTGAACCAAATATGAGTGGAATGAGGAAAAACGTTAATCTTTGAAATCTGTTTTTCTCAGTTGCTCTAGGTGCATGTTTATGCCCTGCCATGGTCCTCTGGCTAAAAGGCGAATGAGGCAGAGGAATGGAAAGTAGTAATTTACGTCTTCACATGTAACAGCATTTCAGCCGTATTTAATTTTATGTAGTAACTTAGTGATCAGTTAAGGAGGATTGTCACCTTCATGGAAATCCTAAGGTTTAAGTTGCTTTCCTTATGGCGGTTTGCTTATTTCATTAAACTTATTTAGTAAGCTTATTTTTTTATATGCTTTGAACATAGTCTGAAATGACATTTTTTTTTAATAAAATAGTTTAAAATGTCATTAATGTATGTATTTGTCTCTATTGAAATATAACATAATCAATAGTCTAAGCCAGGAGTGGGGAACCTTTTTTGTGCTAAGGGCCACTTGGATATTTATAACATCATTCGCAGGCCATACAAAATTATCGCCTTAAAAATTAGCTATGAAAAAGGCTCCTAGATTTATTGAATTTCTAGTCCTGCTTGCAGTTGCCTTGACAGGGCCAGACCCAATGATTTCTCAGGCCATATACAGCCCGATGGCCAGATGTTCCCCACCCCTGTTCTAAGCAGCAAACACAGACATGGCCAGGAAGGCAGGTGATACGTAGGAGAGAGAGAGAGTGTGCGTGTGTGTGTGTGTGAGAGGGAGAGAGCACATACATATATATTACAAATAAGTGCAATTAAACATTAAAAGTATAGTGAACCACACAGCAGCTCTGGAGTTCCTCCGGGTTGTCTCCGTGGCCGTGAGGACCACTGTGTAGGAGTGCAGACTTTCTGAATAATAGGAGCTTTTGGTTGATTGCTCAAGAGATTTCCTATGATGCTAATTTAATAAGCTGGGTCATAGGAAAATCGCCCCCAGAAACCTTCCCGCCATGGTGGTTTCCAATTTTTGCAGACTTGCTGTACCGCATCACGCTGGACTCCCTGAGACAGATTTCGCGAAGCTTCTTCTCGGGGACGCAGGAGAGGAGGGTTCAGAGGAACATCACGGTTCGAGGCAGGAACTGCACGAAGCACGTCTTCTACATGTTGGCAAGTAAATCATATGCTAGCGCTGCCTTTTCCAAATCCAGAGCGAAGCACAGACGCCTTGTTTCCGGTCGACCAAGTCCTCCCTCGAAGGGCCCATCGCGGCAGAAACTTTATTCTGTTTGTTCCCTTCTATCAGAAAGTCACAGGCGTGACCTGCTAGTTTCCAAGTATAGTTTATAAAAATATCTCTCGCCTGCCCCGTGTCATCAGATGGCCGCGTCTTACGCAGCAGTAATAGGCACAGTGAACGCGTCAGTAAGGGCCCCGTCTCTCCATTCATTCTTTCTTCGACTTGAAAACCCTTCACTTCCACGGGCTTGTCTGTCCGATGTGGGTGGTAAATGACAAATGCCCTGAGGGGGACTATTGGGCCATGTGCTTTCTGAGGTCTCTTCTTGTCCCAAATTATGTATTTCATTCTTTGACTTGAAATCGAAGGGGAAATGCCTGGTCTTTTCTGTCTCCTGTAGGCTTTGAGCTACCTAAGTTTCTTTCTATTTTAGGGGATGGGGGAGCCTTGGGGAGCAAATTATAAATCTCTAGAAATTGCTGGTCAGCTTGTTTGAACCATTTTAAATCTGTTTTATTGGGTCGCCATTGATGCAGGGAGCATTCCCAACTAAGGGTAAGAGTTTCTGAAAGATTTCCTTTTTTTTAAAAAAAAAAAAAAAAAAAGAGCAGAATGGATGTGATGGGAAAACACGGATTGTAGTAACCGAGGTTGAAACTTAGAGACTTTTCCTCGGTGATTTTCATGTCAATATACCCCATATCATATATCAAAGTAGACTTACTCTGTCAACACTAAGATCAATCTATGATTAGGAAAAAAACACGCTGGAGTTGTCCTTCCTATATGAGTTCGTCAGAACAGAACACTTAGGAGTTGGGACTTAGGTAACATGGGACAGGGCATGAAGCCGGATGCGACATTGCCTCCAACCTACTGAAGGTCACAGTCGTGTACATTTCTCCAAAAATTAGTATGTAGTAAAAGAGATGAACTAGTTCCCTAATTTCCAAAATTCTTTGGATCCTAATGGACACTTTGACATTTGTTCTGGACTCAGCCAGGATGGAATTTGTATCGGAGTGACTTGGGCAAAGTTGTTTAGTGTCTAAGAGGATCCGTTTTCCATCTGTAAGATAAAGGCCCCAGGAGTTGCTCATCTAGGAGGACCACGGGACTAACTCTCAGTAATGTGCACAAAGCTCACAATCGTGGACAGGCCATAAATGGTGTTGTGACTGATGATAGTCTAGACAGTAGGGGTCGTATTAGCACTATTGACGTATCACCCACATTATACAAGTCTCACAATTCAAGAGAGACCGTATACTAATGAAATGCAACTCAAGTTAAAAGAAGTTTGCTCTTCTGGATTTGGGGGGCTTCCCTAGAAGTATTACATAGTGGTTTCTAGCTCGAGGTCTCTTCAGAAATGGCGTGTTGTGGAAGTAGCTCCGAGTGGTTCATCCCGACCTGGGGAGGACAGCACGTTCCGTCCCAACATCGGGCCCTCTGAGCGGCGGGGGGGTCAGCTGGTCACTGCCGAAGCCTCCGCCTCCCCGCTGTGGCCTGGTCCAGGCAGAGGGCCGTCCGTCTCCAGCAAAGCAAGGCCCGGTGGGGTCATATGTCAGACCGGGTTCACAGAATGTCCCGGTGAGGCTGACCCACGGGGGCAGAGGAGGGAAGTCCCAGCAGGGCCAGGACCTCAGGAACTACAGTACCAACGGTCTGTTTACGTTTCTTCCTCCAGGACAAGCATGACTTCCGGGACTCCGTGAGGATAACCTTGGACTTTAATCTCTCTGATCCAGAAAATGGGCCCATTCTTGATGATTCTCTACCAAATTCAGTGCATGAATCTGTAAGTCTTTCTTTTCTTTTCTTTTTTTTTGGAATACCTACTTGTGAATATATTCAGAAAAAAACTTGAAATACATAAACAGACACACACATACACTGAGTATAATTGATTTAGTGTTATACAGATGTGTGCACGGCAAGGTACAATGTATTCCATCATCCCAGCAGGTACACACACAGACAAATCAATTATATTAAAATATAATAAAAGATCTAGACTCCTGTAGACTTTTCCCAACTTACTTTTAAACTTTCGACTATTGGAGTTTAAGGGAACTTGTAAATGACACCTGTTTTTACCTCTCCTGAATTCAGAACGAATTGAAAGAAAGGCATGGGGTGGCCAATTGGAGCTCCCTCTTAGTACTAATGAACACTAGAATACTTGACTGTTTTTTGAAACTATTCTAGATATAAAGGGTGTTCTCCTACTGAACCAGACTTGGGCCGCGGGTGACCAAACGGGTCCCCAGCAGTGCTCAGCAATGCCGGGCCTTGTTCACGGGGACCCACCTTGTAGAACGTGCAGAATGGAGGCGCAGGGCAGAATGTGTGCTTCCCTGGGCACAGCACTGCCCCCAGAGCAGGAGAGATGGGCAGGGAGGGCTCTGTGTTCGCCCAGGTCCTGCCCCAGATTCAGAGCCCACTGCCCCACCCCAGAAAGAGTGAGTGAGCCACGGAATGGGGGGTCCCCAGTGTGGCCCCAGCAGGGAGACGCTGGGGACAGGGAATCCGTTCTCCCCAGGCCTCTAGCTTCCACTCCCTCCTTCCTTCCAAACCTGTTGGTTGAGCGTCTCATGCACACCAGGCTCAGCACTGCACCCTAGCCTCGGAAGCAAGGATCAGGTCGTCATCAGAGCGTGTGCCGTGAAGGGAACATCAGGGCTCCAAAGGGCCTTCTGCCTGGCTTGGGGTGTCAGAGGGCACCCCCGAAGTCCAGACCTGTGGGATAGGACACAAGCCGTCCCGTCTAGCCGAGTGTTCCGGGCAGAGGGGGGTGTGAAGGTCTGAGGCACAGGGATGCCCACGCCAGCCTGGGCAGGGCAGCTGAAGAGGAAGGGCGAGGGCCCAGGTGGGCTGAGGCGCAGGCCTGGGCGGAGCCAGGTCATTCTCACCGGGTGCCCCGCGCGGAGTGTCACCTGTGGACCAGCAGCGGGAGGCCAGCGAGGGCTGTACTTGGCGCAGGGGCAGCCCTGGGCGTGTGTGACCCTAACATCGCTTCAGCTGCCCTGGGGGGGAGCGAGGGGAGCGAGGGTGGATCGGGAGGAGGGGGACCGTCGGGGTGGTGAACAGGATGGCGGGGGGCACTGTATGAGGAGAGTCACGGGGAGCTCCCGGGTGTGCGGCTGGACCACTCCCCCCTCCCGACTGAACCCCATTACCGTCCTAAGGGTTCGATTCTTTTTAACGGAAAAGTCATCATTGGAGTCGAGCGGGAAAGTGTCCTCTCGTAGATTTAGACCTCAGTGCCCCCGACGTGGGTTTCGAAGCTATTCTAGTCCAGCCAGCTAAAGCCAGTGAAAAGCATCGGGGACAACTGTCCACTCTTGGAAGGGCTGGAAGAGTCGGCATCTAAAAGCAGAAGCGCACTCCTGTCCCCTACAAGTTATAGGGACAAATACAACACAGCGTCTCGTGATTTCTGTGATGAAATCTACCCTCTTGGCAAGTTGCTTATCTGTCAGTAGGTTGTTTTTGCTCAATCATGCTTAACTGAATTCTGGAAAATGCTTTCCCGGGACCACCCAGATCCCCTTTGCCAAGGACTGTGGACACAAGGACAGGTGCATCTCGGACCTGGCCCTGGAGGCGTCCACCACGGAGAAGAACCTGCTGATTGTCCGGTCCCACAATGACAAGCTCAACGTGAGCCTCACGGTCAGAAACAAGGGGGACAGTGCCTACAACACCAGGACCATGGTGCACTATTCTCCAAATCTCATTTTCTCCGGAATTGAGGTAAATTCCAGCTTTTCATTGACTCATCCTTGGAATACTGGCTCGTTGAACCTACTTTCCTTACCACTGAACTAATTTTTTACCCTCCCCCGAGGACATGTTCACTGATTTTAGGGAGAGAGGAAGGGAGAGAAGAACATCGACGTGAGAGAGAAACATCAATTAGTTGCCTCCCACAGGCGCCCTGACTGGGGATCGAACCCGAAACCTTTTGGGGTACAGGGCGATGCTCCAGCCAGCTGAGCCACCCAGTCGGGGCTGACCTCATTATTTTTATTATATTGATTTTATAAGAAGAGAAAGNGAAACCTTTTGGGGTACAGGGCGATGCTCCAGCCAGCTGAGCCACCCAGTCGGGGCTGACCTCATTATTTTTATTATATTGATTTTATAAGAAGAGAAAGCATTTTGTAGAAAATGTGTGCTCGCTAATGATGGAAACACCAACATTTTCTTTAGAGCTTAGTTTTGATATAATTCTCTAGAGACGTGTGCCTGTTCTTGGGTTCAGTATGAGACAAGGGTCTCTCGGGTACCAACACTGTGCTTCACCGGATCCTTAAAGCCCCGAAGTTGAGACTCAGTCGAGAAAAAATAAACATAACAGTTCAACTCAAAACAGTTTAACAGACGTGCAGAGAGGGAGCAGTGCAGGTGTTGAACAAGAAAACATTTACATGCAGAAAAACCAAGACGCCACTTCCCCGCTTTCTATGTAAAATCCTTACATTGACAAGAGTTTTGGGAAATGACGATGTCCTGTTGTCTTGCTAGACGTTTAAAATTATTTTAGCAATGACATAGCTGCATAGGATGTACAAGATGCTGTGTCCGGAATAATTAGCACCTGCTCCCAAATGTGAACTGTGCTTTTAATCCCAGTCTCTGAATGAACGCCCCTGAGTGAACATTCTGTGTGTATTTACATAAATGAATCGTAAATGAATTAATTCATATTATTCATCTTAAAAGCCGGTGCCGTTATTATATATAAGATTGAATTCTGTTGTCCAGGTCCTATACATTTATATTTTCACTGATGTTTTTCTTCATCTGTTAGTAACAGAACTAAGACAGGCTTGGAAAACGTCGTGGTCAGGACCACGCATTTCCTGACAGGAGTGCGTTATAAACCCAGGCGTGCAGAGTGGCGGAGGGAGGAATCACTGTGTAGTCATGGCCTCCTCGGGCCTCCTCGGGAGCCGAGGGCAGTGCGAAGAGCCAGCGACGCGCCCCCGCTTCTGTCCACAGAAGAGGCCGAGGCGCCTCTCCTTGGGCCACGACATGCCGGGCTCCCCTGACTCTGTTCTCGTCAGTTCTGCTCTAAGTAGGTTGCAGTCGAGCAGAGACCCTAACCCAGAGTCACCCTTCTCCTCCGCCTTCTGACAGTCCTGTAGTTGCAGTTTACAGTCAGTGGCCTGTTTATTAATCGGGCAGCACTGTGGTCGCTCCTTGCTGGTGTGTAAAATGAGGAAGGCTCAGTGGAGGGTTGTTGTGTATTTAACGGGAGAGACTATAACCAG